TTGTGAAGATGAAGTAATATATTGATATATATCACAGGCGAGACGATTGGAGACTTATGGTAATTACATGCTGATATGTGCACATTTACCATCCGTAGCCAGACCGAATGATGCTCTGAGCTGCAAAGCTGTGCTATTTGATAATATTTAGTTAATTTATTCCTGTATCTCCTGGCACCCTGTCCTTACTTCAAGGGTGTACGGCATCAAATAGGTTGTAGGAATCAAGGAGACTTTTTACAGCTTTCATTTATTAATTGTATTTTATTCACTGGAATGGATACAGTCACACGGCACTCCAGCTGGTTATAAATACATTTCCCATAATTCTTAGCCAGATCTGGCCCCCCATTTAGTGTCATTAATATATTGTGTGTATACAGTAAGTGCAGTAGATATACAGTGTGTGTATAAGTTATTTATATAGCACTAACAGGTGTACTCAGCACTTTACAGGTTACATTACAGTAGAGGGGGTACAGTAAGTGCAGTAGGTATACAGTGTATGTATATTTTATTTATATAGCGCTAACAGGTATACTCAGCACTTTACAGGTTACATTACAGTAGAGGGAGGTACAGTAAGTGCAGTAGGTATAGAGTGTATGTATATTATATTTATATAGCACTAACAGGTGTACTCAGCACTTTACAGGTTACATTACAGTAGAGGGAGGTACAGTAAGTGCAGTAGGTATACAGTGTATGTATATTTTATTTATATAGCGCTAACAGGTGTACTCAGCACTTTACAGGTTACATTACAGTAGAGGGAGGTACAGTAAGTGCAGTAGGTATACAGTGTATGTATATTTATTTATATAGCGCTAACAGGTGTACTCAGCACTTTACAGGTTACATTACAGTAGAGGGAGGTACAGTAAGTGCAGTAGGTATACGGTGTATGTATATTTTATTTATATAGCGCTAACAGGTGTACTCAGCACTTTACAGGTTACGTTACAGTAGAGGGAGGTACAGTAAGTGCCGTAGGTATACAGTGTATGTATATTTAATTTATATAGCGCTAACAGGTATACTCAGCACTTTACAGGTTACATTACAGTAAGTGCAGTAGGTATACAGTGTATGTATATTTAATTTATATAGCGCTAACAGGTATACTCAGCACTTTACAGGTTACATTACAGTAAGTGCAGTAGGTATACAGTGTATGCATATTTTATTTATATAGCACTAACAGGTGAACTCAACACTGTAAAGGTTACATTACAGTAGAGGGAGGTACAGTAAGAGCAGTAGGTATACAGTGTATGTATATTTATATAGTGCTAACAGGTGTACTCAGCACTTTACAGATTACATTACAGTAGTGGGAGGTACAGTAAGTGCAGTAGGTATACAGTGTATGTATATTTTATTTATATAGCGCTAACAGGTGTACTCAGCACTTTACAGGTTACATTACAGGAAAGGAAGGTACAGTAAGTGCAGTAGGTATACAGTGTATGTATATATTTTTTAAATTCTTTATTTTTGTTGTGCGTAGGATTTATAATACTCGCTTGTGAGGTACCCCAAAGGCAATCCTCCAGCGCATTAAAACAGTAGTTAAACATATAGGTACATGATAGAACAAGCACATTTTTGTTTTTAGGCTATAAACAGTTATGGTCATAGCGCAGGTTGCGTCTAACGAATTGGCAATTCGAAGACATGCCGTGTGCCTATAACAGTGAGTCTAGGTACATATAACATTAAACAATCTAGGTAACATACTCAAGTCTTGTACTATTATGATGTGATGATGAACAGGGCTGTTCATGTGTGTGTGTTTCTGTTTAGTCATAGTCTAAGCATCGTGGTTAGGTTGTGTATCGAGATATGCTGCTGGGTACTGATGAGGTTAAACTGATGAGGTTAACGTAAAATGATGAAAGTGAAAAATTATAATAATAAACAATGCTAGGTCTGTTGTGTTTGGTAAACAATAAAGGGAAACATATATCATGCTATCTAGAGTTTTCAAAAGGTGAATGTACTGGCTGGATAAATGCACCGGGAATTACATCGTGCCTCAGTGTATGTCATACTTCGTTTAGGCTCAATCATTCCATGCTGAGTAGACTTATCTAAGATAATAACGCAATAACACAACAAGCCATTAACTACTGTCAAAACTGACATGCTTCTTTCTCCGGGCACCCCCCACTGCTAACATCAAAACGTGGAGTGGCATGTAAGCAGACTGGCTAGTGTCAGGGCTCCGGCAAGTAAATAATCCAGCCAAAAAGAGAGAGTTGTTTCAAGTGAGAGAGCAAATGTTAAACATAGAACCTTGTCCTTAGACCATGTGGCGTCCACAGGAGTCCAGCAGGTCAGATAGCTCTGGCATGACTTCTGCCGTGGAAGGTAAGTCCCTGGTCAACCGACTCCCGACAGCGGGAGGAGCAGTGACCCTGGAAGGTGGTGTTCAGAATGTGGGCCTGTTGGTAGGTGCCATTGAGGTTTGCTTCTTCCCCTCTGGTGACACATAGGGACCGGCTGTGTCTCTCGTGCATGTGTGCTGTGGGTGGTCTGCGCTGGCTCGCTGAGTGTGTGAGCCGGCAGCCGGTGTCTCCGTGGAGTGCTCGTCATCTGAGGCTGAGAGCTGTGCGAGGGCGGTCTCACCTGCACGGACTGGGTTTCAGGCAAGTGAACTCTGGTAGTGGGACAGCTCGTACTGAGTCGGGGTATCCTCCGTCTCTTTATTATGATCAGCCTCTCAGTGCCACTAAGTGGTGCAGGCTGTGGTGCTTTTGTCGCCGCTAGCTTTTCTGCGGTTGCCGGTCCTTGTGCCTGTTTGGTGAGTTTCTCCCAGAGTTGCGCCCAAAAGCGATCAAATGCCCTTGTTATGCTGTCCTCGTGGGGAGCCCAGAGATCTGGGTTTCGTGTGGCGGCCATCTTTGCAGCTAGCGTGACGGTTTGTGGTTTCAGTTGCTTGGTGCTTTTAAACACTTGCTCGTGTCCTGTTGCTACATGGGAGCCGGGATAACCCCCACCGGCCTATAGGGGGGGAAGCGTGGCCAAGACCGTCGTCGATTTGTAGGCGAGGCGGGAGATCGGCCGCGTCCTCCACCTCAGTGTAGTTTGTAGGCCACAATGACTGCCAGAGCCCATAAAGCTCTCAGCAGGGTGGTAGAAATTGGTGCCCGGCCTCTCCCATGCCTTCAGAGATCGGGTTCAGCCGGTACTTTATAGCAGGTAACAAGTTTTGGGCCAATTTCTCTGTATTTGCCGAGGAGCTCCTTCAACATGCGTCCTGCTTGCTCAGTAGTCAGGTATATTTTATTTATCTAGAGCTAACAGGTGTACTCAGCACTTTACAGGTTACATTACAGTAGAGGGAGGTACTGTAAGTACAGTAGGTATACAGTGTATGCATATTATATCTATATAGCGCTAACAGATGTACTCGGCACTTCACAGATTACATTACAGTAGAGGGAGGTACAGTAAGTGCAGTAGGTATACAGTGTGTGTATATTTTATTTATATAGAGCTAACAGGTGTACTCAGTACTTTACAGATTACATTACAGTAGTGGGAGGTACAGTAAGTATACAGTGTGTGTATATTGTATTTATATAGAGCTACCAAGTGTACTCAGCACTTTACAGGTTACATTACAGTAGAGGGAGGTACAGTAAGTGCAGTAGGTATACAGTGTATGTATATTATATTTATATAGAGCTAACAGGTGTACTCAGCACTTTACAGGTTACATTACAGTAGAGGGAGGTACAGTAAGTGCAGTAGGTATACAGTGTATGTATATTTTATTTATATAGAGCTAACAGGTGTAAAGAGGCTAGGAGTGGCACTTGTACCCCAATTAAGAAGTCAAACTGTTAAAAGACATGTTGATAGCTTATATAGTGCACTGTAGTGGTTATGGTGTGTGGAGTGTTCCTTAACGTGAATAAACCATTCATCAGGCCCAGTATTCTGCATTTCCCAGAGGGAAATATTGAACACAGGGATAGATTTGCCTGCTCTAAACCCCAACACATTATCATTTCAATCTAATTGTCAGGATTTTTTATTCCTGGAGTGATATTGCAGAGCCACGTGTTACTAATTAACATTGTATAAATTGGAAAAGCAAACCAGATCATTTGTAAGAATAAGGCAATTATAACTCACCTCTCACCAGCTGCCAGTTTAACCAACGGTGCATTTTAGACACTTTTGACAGAGAAAGGGTTAATGCCTTTTGAATCCAATGTCAAATCTTCAACTAGCTCCCCAGATGTAATATATTCTGAGGATGTCTCGGTGTTCCCCTGGGTTAAGCAAATATGGATGTTAAATTATGGCCAGCATAATTGATAAGACAAGAGCTTCCGTGTCTAGTACCATAGGCCTGGGATCTGTGTCTTACCGGCTGGATAAGCTCGCTGGTAAAATACGAGAGAGAATCAGCATGCTCTTATCAGTACCAGAACATACATTAGCCAGTTAGGACCATTTAAAAGGTGTATGTTTTTTTTTTTTAAATGACTTTTTTTTTATTTTATATTCAGGGCTTACAAAAATGTTCATTTTTAAAAAACAGTAAATAGTAAAGTTTTTTTCTTTTTATTTATGTATTCTTTATTTTTAATTTTTTCGGAATCATAAGTACCGTATATACTAGAGTATAAGTCGACCCAAATATAAGTCGAGACCCCTAATTTTACCCCCAAAAACTGGGAAAACTTATTGAATCAAGTTTAAGACTAGGGTGGGAAATGCAGCAGCTACTGGTAAATTTTTTTTTTTTTTAAATTCTTTATTTTGGTAGTGCATACATGAACAATACGCTTGCATAGCCACGACAGCTATATCAAGCTGCAAACAATAGAATAGTATAACAATAGCATGGCATGTGAGTATCGGCACAATTTTTAAAGAGGTTATATAAAAGATTCAACATAATGCAGCCACTGAAAATAGGATAGAAAAAGAGCAATTTCAATCCTGGTCGTATGGTTAGTGTCGGCGTATATGCTTATGGACTGGAGTATGCCTGCAGTGGAAGGCAAGGTGCATGCTTATGTGCCTCTTGAGTCAAAAGTTAAATGGGACCCTGTGTTCTGAGGGAGTATATTAATACGCCCGTGTTGTGGATCAGTTAGAAATTCCAGTTATAGGCCGTGTGTAAGGTCGTAAGGCCTTGTGGATAGAGAGGGCTGTGCTCGGCCTAGATTGTCGTGTGAGTGAGAGAATAAAAGAGGATACAGACATGCAACCTGGTAGTGTATTTGTGCAGCTCCTAATTAGTGATCTCGTGGTAGAGTAAATGCGTTGGAGCTGGGGGGGTTTTGGTATTAAAGGGAGCCAATTAGTCCGGGTTCTGCCCGGTTCGGCGGCAAATAAAAGCCGTATAGCAATCCTGCTATGTGTGTGTAGGGGTTTCTGGGTTACCCCCAATAGGGCCTATGCCCTGGGAGTAAACTTGTACGTTTACAGCGGTGTGTTTAAGGGGGAGAACATTAAAACCAAACAAAAAGCAAAACAAGAGTAATTCAAAAGTCCCGGTTCAGGTAGTCTGCTCTCCAAGCGTTCTCCTGGATGCTGGAACAAATGGGACAACTTTAGTCGGATCCCAGGTTGTAGCGGTTGAAGATGGCCGTAGTCCCATGTCGGTCAAGACAGTGTCCATTTCTGCGACGTCCGTCGCTTTATATTCCTTGCCTTGGTGTTGGATGAGGAGTATGTGTGATGGTCCCCAGCGATACTTCACTCCCTTAGCCGTCAATGCCGCTGTAAGTGGTCGGAGAGATTTCCGCCATTGCAGTGTTGTGCGTGAGAGGTCGGAATAGAACGTTAAGTCCATGTCCTCAAAGCGGTATGGATTTTGTCCCCTGATGGAACCCATTAAGGCAGTTTTGTCTTGCCCATTTTGAAATTTGACCAGAAGGTCACTTGTCGCTGAATTTGCAAGTTGTGTCGGCTTGGGTAAGCGGAACATGCCATCTAGCTGCACCCCTTTAGCTTGTTTGGGGGACAGGAGGGCTGTGAAAAGCCTTCTGAGTAGGTGGGGAAGTTCGGCTGGGGCAATTGCGTCTGAGAGGCCTCTGATTTTAACATGCTTCCACCTCCTTTTGTCTTCCATTGCTGCTAGTTGGTGGGTGAGTGTGATGTGGGCTGAGGAGAGGTCTTTGACCTGATTCTGCAGCTCTGTTATTTGTGCTGTTTGTGCCTGGGTGGATTGCTCCACTGCTGAGAGGCGATCAGTGAACCCCTTTACATCCTCCCTTACCTGGGAGATCTCTGCAGAGAGCGACTGGCGTAGGTCAGTCAGGAGAGAGGTAAGAATCTCCGTAGTGATTGGGGAGCCCATTGGTTGTTGTTTGAGTTTAGGAGGTCCCTTGTACCCCAGTGTCTCAGGGCAGTGGAGGGATGTGTCGTCCGAGCTTTCTGAGAAATCCTCATATTCGGCCGCCATGTTGGGCGCCGCCGCGCCATGCGGCCTCCTCAGTAAATCGCCGATATCGGCCGTAAATCGCGGGCGATCGGGCCGCGGCTTTTTGGTCTTTCTCCCCATATCAGGGGGAGTAGTTGCAGGCCGTCTGCTACCAGAAGGGAGAGCTTTTGGGGTCTTTTTCGTCCGGTTTTGGGCTGCGGTTGGCAGAGAGCAGGAGAAGTGCGACCGTTCATGCCGAGAGCTGGCTCCGCCCCTCCACTGGTAAATTTTTAAATAAAATTAGATACCAAAAAATTATATTAATTGTATATTTATTTACAGTGTGTGTATATAATGAATGCAGTGTGTGTATGAATGCTGTGTGTGTGTGTGTATGAATGCAGTGTGTGTGTGTGTATTAGTGCAGTGTGTGTATGTGATGCAGAGTGTGTTTGTGTATGTGATGCAGAGCCTTGGTGGGGGGTGGGCATTTTTATTATTTTTTTAAATTATTATTATTTTAATATATTTTTTTAAATATTATTTTTATTTTATTTTGTATTATTTAAATTTTTCGTGGTGTGAATGCCGTGCGGAGCGTTGCCACAGGTTGCTCTGACCCTGCGGCTCTCGCGAGACTTGCAGTGGAGCTGACAGGGGAGCTGACCGGAACGGAAGAGAGAGAAGGGAGCTTACAGGAGCTGCAGGAAAGGTAAGTTACAGCTCGCTGCCAGCCCCCAACAGGACCGCCGGGCTTGTAATGAGTCCGGCGGTCCTTGTCTGTATTATGGCAATGTAAGTTGCCATAATACAGACAGTGACTCGTGCATAAGACGAGTGGGGGGGTTTCAGCACAAAAAAGTGCCGAAAATCTCGTCTTATACTTGAGTATATACGGTAATATACAAGTAAATCAACAAGTATGTTGAGGGATTAACAAAAAAAAGAAAAAAAAAAAACCAGGGGAAAAATAAACATATAAATATTTCAATATGGAAAAAGGGGGAAACACTATTGGCCAATATAAAAGTGATTCAGTATTGACGATTCTAGTTAAGTAATCATTACTTGTCTCACATACAATGGAAGCCTGTGTACAATGTCGATTAGAGCATTTTGTGACCTCAGAGCTATGACCGGTAGTGGGGAGTTTAGTAAGGGTGACCCCCCCCAAGTGAAAGTTGGGGAATAAGAGTAGTGGGTCTAATTTGACTGTGATCCCCGGTGCCTGTTTTGGGGAGGAGGGGCATCCTGAGTATTGGCCAGGAAGGTGATGGATGGGGAATGAGCAGTGATTACAAATCCCTTCGGTTGCGATATGGAGTTAGGAAGTGATGGGAATAAGGAGAGGTTCGAGGATAAAGTAAAAGGAGAGGGTAGTGCACCCACATTCACGCTCGGTTGGGAAGGAATGGCGGGATAGGGAGAAGAAAGAGAAGGATTGCTTTTGCACGTTACACAATTTAAGAAGATAAGATGTCAGTGCTATGTGAATTATAATAACGAGGTGTAGGGGTGTCTCCATGTATCCAAGGATCCCGTATTTTATCGATGGATTTGGAGTATCATGTAGTTGAGCTGTCAGTCTGTCTGTCTGTGGCCTAATGTTTTGTTCTGTGATCGTAGACACACTAGGAATGTCTTCTTTAGCCCATAATTCACCAATGGCTCTGTGAGCTGTTAATGCAACTCTCGCTGCCAACTTGCTCACAGCCCTGGTGAAGTTATCCAGGGGTTTAGATTGTTATAAAGCCCATGGGTCCATTGGCTAGGGATTGCCTAAAATATGGGTGAGCAGGGAGGTAACCAATATCCATAGTGGTTTGAATCTGGGGTAGAATCACCAGCAATGCAGAAAAGCCCCGGTTGCTCCACACAATTTTCATCAGTTTACTTGGTTGGATACATATTTGACCTAATCTGTATGGTGTAAGGTATCACTGAAACAGCATTTTGTAAGCTTGTTCATTGTGTGTTCCAAAAATCATGAGAGATGCTATGGTTTCCCAAATATCTGACCAATCTCCCTCTTATGGACCCAGACCCTTCTCCCACATAGCAATATAGGGCAAGGAAATGTGAGAATCTCCAGATAATGGGAACAAATTAAAGTTAACATGAAAAGTAAACTTTTTTTTAAAATGTATTATCAGGTGAGTGTGACTGCAAATGTAGAGCCATTAAAGAATATTGGTAAACTAGAATTTTATGTACTTCTAAGTCTCATGGGATAATTATCAGTTAACTAGTAGGCTGTATATTGTATATTGTTGAGTTACAGATCACGGCAAAACCTGTTCTAGCATGAGATAGCAACAGCTCAACCGTCTGGAGAACATTCTACGTCGGTTCCATGGCAGTCCTCAAATCTGCTCACCATTGGCAGAAAAAAAAAAGGGTGGTGAGTTTAAAAGGGTAGCCCCATGCATAGCAAAGCCTGTGGTGATTCGGAGCCCGGGTAAGGGGGACACAGAGTGCTCAGGGTCACGTCTTGAAAAAGGTGGACCCAGTGTCCACCAACCTGCAGAGCAGAGTCTCGATCTGCCCTCATGAGAGCCTCTTTGGTATGGAAATAGAGCATCCACACTATGATGGGTATGTTTCTCGGTTGGGTTGTAGGAGCAGCTGGTGGATGGAGTGCTCTATGGACACGGTCCATCACAAGGTCAGCAGGAGGAGTATCTGGATGTAAGCCGCAGAAGGCTGTTTGTGGTTCTTAGAGTGCTCTTTCAACTCTCTCAGTGGGAACTCTCTTACATCTGCCTTAAAATCAGTTTTGTTCTAGGAACATTCTAAGCTCCAAAACCACTACAAGAATCCCTCTCAGAATAAGTAGTCAAAAGTAGTCAATTTCCTGGCTTTCTCTGAGATCTCGCTGCCACTTCCCCCGCCATCGAAAGATCCTGCACTGAACTAAGCCCGGCTGTGCAGAACCACACTCATTGGCTGAGAGTGCTAGGCTAACTCTCACAAACAATGACCACAGCCCTGAACGACTGGGCTTCGCTAACTGATGATAACATGAAGCACGCCTTCCAACATTGACATCCTGTAAATTGGGATGCAACTGGTAGGGGTAAAAGAGGTGGGCCCCCTAATGTTAAACTGTTCTTTAATGTTTTGACTACTTGCTCTGTGAGAGCGCCAGTACATCCCCGGTATCATTACCACTACAGCAAGCTGTAGTAGTTATGGTGCGTGTTGGAATCCTTTGTAAGCATAATTTGCATCGCAAATACAAAAAGATAAGTCCTGCGCTCACTCCCATGACTCCTGAGCGGCAGCAATGACTACAGTACACATCAGCCCCAACATATAGTTAAAAACCAAAGGGGAAAAAAAAAAAAGTTACCAGCGCTCTCTCCTTAATCCCTATGTATAGTTAGACAAATGGAGGTCATTTAGTTACTCCAATGGCCACTGGAGGGAATGCCCGCCTGCCAACATCAAGGCAGACCCCTCTAAGCGGGTCCTACACTGACCCTTCACCTTGCTTCCTTGAGCTTCTGGCAAAGATATCTCCACTGAGACAGAGAGGGGTATTTTGCATAGCACATATATTTTCACTATTCTGTCTGTATACTTTTATTTCTTTATAATTTCCATTTGTTTTATATTGTGGATATGAAGGGGCTTCACTTCCTGGTAACATGCGAAAGTTAATTTTCTTCCTTTGCAGTGTAACTTGATTGACAGCTGAGTTCAACCATTAGTGAGAACGAAGGTCGGTTTGTGCACTAAAGGCTAATTAACATTCTGACTGGACATTAAATGACCTACAGAAAGGAGGCCAATAAGACATATTAGCTCCTACATTTAAATTACAATAACTG